TTCAGGAGATGAAATCTGAAGCATTTGTCCTTCCCCAGGCCTCACACTTTCTTAACAAGTCCCTTTTCTGGGCTGTGGTAACAGAATCATAACCCAGAATATGTTTTGTATTCTTACATCATATGTAAAAAACACATACAGACTTTACTCTTTTAGTCCTAATTGCTTTCTATTAAAAGTTGTAAAGTGATTTCCTCCAAGTCCACCTCTGAAGCTCCCGGAAGATATTCTACTTTATTTTGAGAGAAGGAAGCCCCTAAACTGCCAGAATGATGAGTAGGTCTTGATTTCATCCCTTCCAGGCTGCAAGGACTCCTCAGACTCCTCCAGTCTCCCTGTTGATCCCAGGGCCTTCCCTTTCTAGCTTTTAGACTTTTAGAGAAAGGGCCATTTTCCCTTGGAGTAGAAGAGTCTGCTTTTGGGAGGGTGGCTGACGTTTCTTTACTGCCCCCTGGTGGCCACTCCTCTGAAGTGCAATTTGGGCAGCTACAGGAGAGCTGGTTCCTTCAGACAGAAGAGCGGCGGGGGTCCCTGGGAACGTGGTCTCCTCTGGCGGGAGCCAGCTGTTAGATGGCTGTTTACTGAGATCAGCCTTCTTGACTGGTTGCTGAGGATTCTAATCTTTGAGCTGATAGGAGAAGAAGTGGGGCACTCAGGTTTCATCCACCAGCGTTCAACCCCCAGCGTTCACCACTATAACTTGTAGAGTTGGGTGAGGACAAAGAAGGGATTGCAGGTTTTGCCCTAGCCTGGGCTTCCCCCTGGGAACCAGCTTTGCTCTGGGAACTGTGGCCCTCTGAAGAGGCCAAGGCCTCAGCTCCTCGTGGCTACTCTGACCCTCCTGTTCTGCTTAGGACTGGGCTAAACCAGGTCCCTATGACCAGCCTCTGGTGAACACCCTACAGCGCCGCAAAGACAAGCGAGAGCCGGAGCCCAGTGGAGGAGGAACCATTTCCATGGGCGGTGCACCCGCAGCTGCTGAGGAGGCCCAGAGACCCCGGAGCATGACTGTGTCTGCTGCCACCAGGGTGATGATGTCTTGTTCTCTGTAGCTGGGTGGGCCCACTTAGACCCTGCTGATGGCTGACAGAGCCCTTTAGCTGGAGGAACTGGGCGCTATCTCCCCCATCCGCTAGTCTTTAGTGGTTAGAAGACCCCTGGGGAACAGCCTTGTATGGCAGTCAGACACATGGAACTTTCTAGACCCTGGGCAGGACCCACAGGACCCTCCTGGGAGCAGGCTAAGGAGGTTCCACCAGAAGAGGGGTGTGAGAAGGCTCCAGGGTACCAGATGGCGGGTCTCATGACCTGGTGTCTCTCTCTCTCCCCTTCCACCTGCAGCCTGGTGAGGAGCTGGAGACTTGTGAGGAGCTAGCGCTGGCTCTGACACGCAGCCTTCAGCTCGACACCCAGAGGAGCAGCCGGGACTCGCTGCAGTGTTCCAGCGGCTATAGCACCCAGACCACCACCCCATGCTGCTCTGAGGACACCATCCCCTCCCAAGGTACGACGCAGCTGCCAGGCTCCCAGTCAGGCTGAGCCAGTGATGCATTTGATTTTCTTTTTATTTGAATGTATTCATGCATATTTATGAATTTCATATTCTGAAAATTTTTAAATTGTGGCAACAATTCAATGGGGCTTCAAGAAGTTTGTGGAGGGAAACTTTGTTGTAGTTCCATTTTTCCTTGAACTTTCTGAAGCTCCCTCAGATAACACAAACGTTTACCAGTTGCACAGCTTGTTCTTGACATGGCTCACATTCACTATATTTACACACAGCACCTGCACCACAATCCCGTCCCAAGTCTTCATTCCACCCTCTACTGTGACTGGAAACTCACTTTCCTCCCTCCCTCCCAATCCTGGAAATTACTAACAAGTATTGGTCTCTGTATGTTAGCCTGTTTTCTCTAAGTGAGCTCATACACTGTTTATCCTTTTGTGGCTGACTGATTTCATCAGCATAAGGGGCAGACAGTGCATTTTAGTGGCAACTTAACCCCTGGGCTCAGCAGACGGATTTCAGACTTGATTTCATCATCTGACGGTGCTTTGAAGAGCTGATCTGGAGTTTTCAGGTGGCACCCTATAACGAGGTAGACTGGACTTCAGCCCCTTTAAGATGATACATGGTGGATCTAGATTTGAACTGAGCTAGAGGCCGTTAGTGACCGTTCTCGTTAAGTGCTGTCCAGTCAGTTCCAACTCACAGTGACCCCGTATAGGCTGAGGAGTGGCTGAAGTTAAACCTCTAAACTTGTGGGTACAATTGACCTTTCAGTCTAGTGCACTAACCCGTAGCACTATGATGATAGCTTCATTTAGCACTTTGTGCTAAGCACTTTATAGTTATTATCCTGTTTAATCTTTGGAGTCCTGGTGTGGCACTGTAAGATAAGCACTGGACTACTAACCACAAGGTCAGTGGTTCAAACTCACCAGCCACTCCTTGAAAACTCCCCGCAGTGAGTCGGAACTGACTCGAAGGCACTTAACCTATAACCACTGAAGGGATAAATATTTGTACCCCCATCTTACAGATGTGGAATTGGAGGCACTCAGTAACTTGCCCAAATTCATGCAGTGAATAAGTAGCAGAGCTGGAGTTGGAACCTAAGGTCTGATAGAGTCCAAGGGCCAAGCTCTTACCCATTCCAATCAATTCCTCTATCATACCTGCCTCCCTCAACCTCATCCTCAACACACATAGAAACCAGACCAGATGAAAACCTAACAGCTGAAGATCTTACAGGTGATCTAAAGCTATTTATAAATCGTCAAAAACTCTAAGATCGTTGTTGTCAACACATTGTGAGAGATTATGCCTCTAAGAAACATTTGGCAATATCTGGAGTTCCTGGTAGCTTTGTAAGATAAGCACTAGACTGTTAACCTCAGAGTTGGCAGTTCAAACACTCAGGAAATGAGGCTTTCTAGTCCTGTAAAGATTTACAGCCTCAGAAACCCTCCGTAGGGTTGCTGTGAGTTGGAATTATTTGGTGACAGTAGTAGGCTTGGTTGTAGGTAGGAGACATTTGGGTTGTCAACACTGGAGGAGCTGGTTGTTACTGACATCTGGTGGTTCAAGACCAGGGATGCTACTAAACATTGTCTAGTGCATTAGACAGAACAACCAAGAACTCTCCGGTCCAGCATGTCTGTGGTGCTGTTCTGAGATGCTTCATCTGTGAGCAAGTGAGCACAGGGTACTGCTGGAACCTGTTTTTAGGGCTTACATTTTAGGACTCCTTGCCATGGTCCCATTTCTTTTTTCTAGCTTCCTCCTACCAGTTAACTATCTGGTTTGTTCTCTGATTGAGGTTTATTTCTCCTGTTGCATTGTGGACTAGAGGGTCAGTAGAACCCACCTTCTCTTCGTCCCCCGTACTTCACCCAGAGAAGCTCAGCACTAGCTTTGCTGCAGGCAGGCAGGCAGCCTTACCATCTACAGCACTCACCAGTAGTTGAGTGACTGCTATGTACAGCGCTGTTCTAGGTGAACTGAGGATTCCGCCTGAGAGCTCTGCCGGGGGGGTGGGGTGGGGGGGTGGGGGGGGCTTTGTAAGGATCGCATGAAAGTGGGCTTGAAAGGAGAATGTGGGCAGAATCCTCTCTCTCTCTTGGGTTCTTGGTTCTCCCAACACTAAAGAATCAAAAAGTACCAGTGCAGCTGTGGGTCTTCCTAATCAAAAATCTGTCATCAGTTTCAGATTACGATTATTTCTCCGTAAGTGGTGACCAGGAGGCCGATCAGCAGGAGTTTGACAAATCATCCACCATCCCCAGAAACAGCGACATCAGCCAGTCCTATCGGCGGATGTTCCAAGCCAAGCGTCCAGCCTCGACTGCTGGCCTCCCCACCACCCTTGGACCTGCTATGGTCACCCCAGGGGTTGCAACCATCCGACGGACCCCCTCCACCAAGCCTTCCGTCCGCAGGGGAACCATTGGAGCTGGCCCCATCCCCATCAAGACGCCCGTGATCCCTGTGAAGACCCCAACTGTCCCAGACCTCCGCGGGATGCTGCCAGCCCCTCCTGATGGGCCAGAGGAGCGGGGTGAACACAGCCCCGAGTCGCCATCTGGGGGGGAGGGTCCCCAGGGCGTCATCAGCATGCCCTCCTCCATGTGGAGCGGCCAGGCCTCTGTCAACCCCCCACTTCCAGGTCCGAAGCCGAGTATCCCCGAGGAGCACAGACAGGCCATTCCAGAGAGCGAGGCTGAAGACCAGGAGAGGGAGCCTTCAAGTGCCCCGGCCTCCCCAGGCCAGGGTCCTGAGAGCGAGTCTGCAGATCTAAGCCCTCGAGACATCCCACAAGGAGAAGACATGCTGAACGCCATCCGAAGGGGGGTGAAGCTGAAGAAGACCATGACCAATGACCGCTCAGCACCCCGCTTCTCCTAGGCTCCCCAGAAATGCGGGCCGTGAGGAGCGGACTGTCTAATCAGTAACATCTAATTTGTCTTGATCCATTCCAATCTATAATCCAACAAAAGATTTTTGTAGGCAACTCAGAATACAGCTTTTTGAAAAGTACTTCATACCTTTAGATAAAAATGACAAGCAACATATGTAACTGACATAATCATTTGTAAATATTGAGTTTTATTTCTGCACATTTGAATCTTAGTTTCCCTTTTGATTTTTCTGAAGGTGCCAAATTCCATTTAACTTTTTTATAAGTCTTTGTAAAATTTTAAATGCATACGGGGTAGGGTTGGGGGTCAGGGCAGGGGAACCACAAAGTAGTTAACTTCCAACAAAAGGATTACTATTCTCTTCCTTTTCTCTGTTTTTCCATCTTTCTTTCTTTCCCTCCCTTTCTTTTCCTGCAAGCTTTTATAGATGCACCGTAGTAGTCAACTTAGAAGTTAAAATTCAAGTTATTTTAATGTACAAACAAAATGGACAAAGGGAAAAATCCTTATATAAATATACTCTGTTCTGAATGGAAGAGGCAGGAGGAACCATTGGCCCGTAATATTCAGTGAAATCAATCTGGAAATGGTAGAAGCTTGGGATTTGGGGGGAGGAGGGGAAAGGGGCCTGGAGAGAGACACTGTCAACATAGCCGACCCCGTTCCATTTAAAAGTAGCCTTGTAGGTTGGAATTTCTAGTAACTTCATGGTAAATGCATCCGAATAAGCCATACTGGATTGCAGTGTTTGTTTCTGTAGGGTGTTTAAAGGACTTCTTTCTCCCACAATTCAACTGCACACAGCACCCCCACTAGTCCCATGCATGCTGCCACCACTGGGTAGACATAGAACCCCCTATTTTTGTTTCTCGTCTCTTGTACTCATTTTCATCAAATCCAAATACATCCCAAAAAGGAAGGCAGTTCAAAAACAAACAAAAAAAAGGAAAACGTTTTAAAATGATAGCAGGGAATTCTTAAAAAGATATAGCAAATGCCTTTTACTTACCTGTGCCCAGCAGGCTGGGCACATTGAAAAGCCCAAATATTTTGAAAACACTCGAGTGGATTTAACAAGGGTAACCAGCTTGGAGTCTAGCAACTTGCCAATGTGTTTACCAATCTGGGGGCTTGTTTTTCTCTTCTTTTCAATCAGTGGCAGTTAATTGGCTTCATACTAAACATTGTCGAGAGAAGGATTTATTGTCACTGGGAATCCGATCACTGTAACTGTCCCTTTTTTTTTTTTTTTTTTGTATTCTAGGTAATAAGGTTTTTCGGAATGGATTTATGGCTTCTCTTTTTAAAATGCGAGTTAAGTTTGTTATAGTGCTCATTTCCTAAAGCCAACAGAGATTTGTAGACTTGAAGGGATCAACCACATTTGGAGAAGACAAGTGTTTTGAAAGGAAAGAAAGTGACTTAACATAGTCGGGTCCATGAAAGTGCCCACTGGTGATTGTAATACTCAAAGAGCAGCTTGGTGGCGCCCAAAGGCCCTGCACGTGTCTGTTGGCTGGTCTTCAATGACGTAACCTATGCTTTACAACATAAGCACATTGGATGTGAGAGTCATGTACACCTGTATAGTCACTGTTCTAGATATTAACAATTAACACTGCTGTGATTATTGCTCAAGGACATTTTACGTTACGGCTTTAAAGCAAAGGCATGATTATTAGAAAATAAAGCTTTTTTTCTTTGAAAAACAAGCTCCTTTTACAGAATATAAGCGACAGTAGTGCCTGTGGTTTAGCCCACCAATCTTGATGACTAAACGTAGCTGATGCGCTGTGCATATGATGCTTGAGGATGGGTTTTGCAAATGCAGAAATCCCTGCAAGGTCATTAGGATAGAGAAAAAAGTGGTATTTTAAACCTTTGAAATAAATGGATGTAGCTGTACTTTGGGTACAGTTTTTCACTTGTTTAGTTTTTAAACGTTAGTATAATCTGAATAAATGGAATATAAAACGTTGCCAAGTTCAATGTAGAAAGAATGTGACGAAACACCTCGGGTAGTTCTGTTTGTGTTTTTGCATATTGTAAAAGCCTGTCACAGCTCCAAACAAACCCTTTCTAAAGGTAAGTTCTGTAGTTTAGTTGCTCGTTTGTACTGAGAGTTGACCTCTCTGGTTTTTTGGGTTTTTTTTTTTTTTTGTTCTTGTATAAATAACAATTGTGTAATGTGTCTCCCTTCTACATTGTAACAATTGCTTCAGCCTACATTATAAATAAAGAACCACTAGGGGAAAAAATGGAAAAAAAAAAAGCCCTGGAGTTCAAGTCTTATTGAAATCCTTTGAGGTCTTAGCCAAATGTCAGAGAGTGGACTGAGACCTAAACTGAACTTGGGAAACTGACAGAACCTTCTTTTCTGTGGTGGTTATTAACTTAAAGAACGCAAGTGGCTGTAATGGATTCTCTGAAAACCGTCCAATGAGACAGCACGAATGGAAAAGCAGGTGTTTTCAATTGAGTTTTAAAACTATACCTTTTAAAGAAAAGCCTACAAACTAAAAAAAAACAGAACAAAAAAACCGTACCCTTGCGTCTGCAGACAGCCCCAGCTACATTAGAAAAAGCAAAGGGGTTTTGCTATTTGTTGTGTTCCGTTGCAGGCCAGACCTTTTGGCCTTTCCACCTTCACACAAAAGACACCACAAACCCTCGGCTTATTTGCTGGACATGTGCTGCCTTAAGGAGAGTTGTCCTTTCATCAAAACTAGACTTTCAATTGTGCAATCTTGACCGGAAGTTTTGGTAGATTGAAGATTTCAAATATGCACTACAGAGGTAGAGCCAAAATCTGCGAGAGCTGGAACCTATGTAAGGTGGAGGAATACCTAAACATTTCCAAGTCAGAAGCAACAGAAAAGTGCTAAGACTGCGCCCTGTCAAAAGACACGAAACCTGGGAGACCAGGAAAAACACAGTCCTGATGGGTTCCAGCTCTCACAGGTTTTAGTGTACTTAAATCTCTGGTATGAAGTCTTGTTCAGCTCAGTCTCCTGAGCAAACCTGCGTCTGCTGCTGTAGTCTTTACTGAGGACATCCAGAGATTTACTGGACTTGACTGATGACTACATTTCCCGTTGCTTTATGGCTACAATGACAATGGCAATGGGGACTTGGCATCATGTTAATCCTCAGACAAAAGGCATGAGTCACAGCCGACCATGGGAGTTCTTTTTATTAGGGCAAGTAGCTCACTTGCAAAATGACCAGTGAGATGTCTTCCTCTCTCTACATGGGCCGCTCCCGGGGCCTGGTCACAATATGCCACCATAGTGGGGGCAAATCACCTGCCTTTCGAGCAGGGGGAAAAGCTTCAGTCTTAGGACCACCTGGTGGAGTTTCCTCCTGCAACTGCTTAACCTGAAAGGGAACAGAGAAAAAACAATTGCCAAAGGAGTCCAATTCTTTGTCAAATCTGCCTGCTTCCGTGAAAAGGGCCAATTCGGTTTCTGATCTGTGTTGTATTACCCACTATCTGATACTCACTAGTGAAGGGTGTTTCTGTATGTGGTGGTGGTATGCCGTGGAGTCAGTTCTGACCCTGTATAGGGTTTCTGAGGCTGTAGATCTTTACAGGAGCAGAAAGCCGCCTCTTTCTCCTGTGGGACAGCTGGACTCTTTGAACTGACTCGGCAATTACCATCTAATTCCACCTGTCATGGCCTCCACCTAGCCCCCCAAGAAACACATCTATCTCAGCTAAGTGATCTCCAAAAGATTACGAAAGCCCTCTGTCTGTGTTCGGGATGCTGACTTTAAAGGCCCCAAACAAAAAAATAACAAAATCTCAAGTATATATGTAGTCCTTTCTAGTGTTCCCAAACAACCCCTAGTTCTGGAAATTTGCACAATTGGTAACGCTGTCGGAAGAGAGGAGGCTGTAAGAGACTCACTCTCTCCTTCTGGAACAGCCTCTGGAAAACTCAGCTGGGCTGTGGCCGCGGCTAACCGGGGCCTCCAATCACGTGTGCCGAGTCACTGTGCTAATAGCTGCACAGGTAACCTGCTAATCAGGCACATGGCACCCCAAACTTGTAAACACTGAGATGCTGCTGGTAAGAGACCACCCTCCTGGGTCCCGGTGACTACCCTTCCACTCCACCTTGGCCAAAGACTTCCGACACTCACCACCCTGGACCTTATGGCCCAATCCAGCACACCTGCCCAAATTGCGGGCTCAAAGGGCTCACCATGCAGCCACTGCCTCCCCCGCTTCCAGTTCACCCAAGTTAACACCCCCTGGTTTGGGAGCTGTCAAGTTGGTTCCATCCCATAGCGACCCTGTGTAGGGTTTTCAAGGCACGGCTGGTGGGTTTGAACCACTAAGCACTGGACTGCTGATAGCAAGGTCATTCTATAGTGCTACACCAGGACTCCACTTTGGTGGTGGTAAGTGCCATCCAGTTGGTTCCGACTCATAGTGACCCTGTGTAGGGTTTCCAAGAAGCAGCTGGTGGGTTTAAACTGACAACCTTGGTGGTTTGCAGTCCAGTGCTCATCCTACAGTGCCACACCAGAAGTCATAAATATTAAGTGATATTGAATCGGTTCAGACTCATAGTGACCCTGTATAGGGTTTTCAAGGTGCAGCCGGTGGCTTTGAACTGCCGACTTTGTGGTTCGCAGTCCAGTGCTGATCCTACAGCGCCACACCAGGAGTCTGCCAGCCAGTGAATAATATTTCCTTCTCTCCCACCCCTGGTAACCATCACAGAATGTCTCTTTTCGGATGAAAACCTCTCGACTTTTTCTAAAGGCGTTCTCATACACAATCACTCCCCTTTGAGTACCCTCAAATTCCTTGCCACTTGCTCTAGATAATGGGCAAACCATACCATCTACCTTCACCTGCGCCCACACACCTTAGTACTGCTGACGTGAAAAAGCCTGACCAGACTGCTGTCAGAACATAAATTGTCTCCAACTTGAAGTCGGCCTTGGATGTCACCTGGCAATCCTGTTCCAGTATGGTCCTCCTCTCCCCAGGAGGATCAGCGCTTTCCCAGAGCTCCTCAACACTCCTTGGCTTTTCTCTGCCTTCACTAAAAAATTAGAAGTTATCTATACATCTGTCAGTCTGTCATCATCCCATCGTGAGTTTCTAACCCAGATGTATTTACTCTGTTAAAAATGTTGTTCTGATCTTAATGGGGAATAGACTCGCCTCGGGACCCCCTATGCTCTTCAAGCTATGAAGCTATGAAGCAGAAGCTATGAAGGCTCACCTCTCGCTCCCAGCTCTCCACACGCAGTTTCTTCCACTGCTCTCTCTTGGCAAAGTAATCTGGGTACATTGCCTTCTCAGACGGATGCCAGTCATCTAAGCACCACTCGGGGACCTGCCAGGAGAGGAAACCATAGCATCATTCACTTCCAATGTCACTGACAGGGTCTGTTCACAGATGTTATTTGGTGACACCGAGTCAGTTCTAACTAACATACTAACTAACATAGTACACCAGAATGAAACCCTGCGCAGTCCTGTTTCAGCCTGACAACGTGGCTGTATTTGAACCCATTGTTGTAGCAGCTGCTGTTGTCAGTCTATTTCACTGAGGGTCTTCCTCAATGCTGCTGACCCTCCACTTGACCAAGCATAATGTCCTCTCCAGGGACCGGTCCCTTCTGATAACAAGTACAGGAGATGAACACTTGCCATCAGGGCTTTTAAGGAACATTCTGGCTGTACTTCTTCCAACATAGAGTTGTTCATTCTTCTGACAGGCCATTGTATAGTCAATGGTCTTTGCTAACAGCACACAAGGGGGTTTCAAAAAGTTTACAAAAAAATTTCAGTATGTTTCATTTTTAATTGTTTTCTGCAAACTTTTTGAAGGCTCTCGTAATTCAGAGGTATCAGTTCTTGGATCTATCAGCCAGTTTCTGTATGTACAGGACACAACTGGAAGTACCACGATGTTCAGGCACAGCGACGTTCTCAGAGTGACATTTTGTTGTTTAACACTTTAAAGACATCTTTTGCAGCAGATTTGTCCAATGCAATGCATCATTTGATTTGATTTGATTTGATTGCCGATTCCATGAGTGTTGATTGTGGATTGTTGATTTACTTGGGTAAAATGAAATCCTTGACGGCTTCAATATTTCCTGTGTTTATCATGATCTTTATTGGTCTCTGTTGAGTATGGGTTACACCTCAATGTAAAGTATGATGAAATCTTTGATCTTCATCAGTAAGTTAGTGCTTTTTGTCCTCTTTACTGCCAGCCAGGTGTGTCACCTACATATCACAGGTCATTAATGAGTCTTCTCCAGTCCCCATGCTATATTCTTCATAGAGTCCAGCTTCTCGAATTCTGACATATTGAGTAAGTACGGTTATACTGACGCACCCCTTTCTCGATCCTACCAGAAGATGGAAGGCAAGGTGCACTTTTATAAACACGACACGTGTCAGGTGGTTGCTAACACCAAGCAGTTAATGGTAGACCTGAGTAGGAAGATGCCAAGGAGAAAGGAGAGCACCTTAGAGGGAAACCACTCTGCATGGAAAAAGGCAACAGTGTCAGTGGAGGATGGACATCACCCCTCCCCGCCTGGTTCTCGAGCCAGAGGGACAGTCTCCACAATACTGAGCAACCATTCAAATGGGCTACAATTAAGGACCAAAAATGAATTTTATGCCAGTAATTTAGCCTTGTGCTTTGCCAAAAAGTATACTGCAAGACACTGGAGTTGAATTTAGAGTCTATGTGTGTGACGTTATGTCAGTAAGACTTTCGAAAGGCATCCGGGTGTGGCACTGCAGGACAATGCACTGGACCACCACGTCCATTTGAGTTGCAAGGTCAGCGGTTCAAACCCAGCAGATGCTTCTCAGAAACCCTATATAGGGTCGCTTTGAATTTGAACCAACTCAAAGGCAATTAACAGCAACAATGATGTCTAGGAACTGTGGTGGCTCCAAACAATGATCACTGCACTATGAACCACAAGGGTTGTGGGTCGAGCCCACCAGCCACTCCTTGGGAGAAAGATGAGGCTTTCCAATCCTGAGAAGATTTAAAGCCTTAGAAACCCTACACGGGGTCACTGTGAGTCAGAACTGACTCCACAGCAAGTAACAACATCATCTAAGGAGTCCTGCTGTGACACTGTCATAAACACTGGACTGCTAACCACAAGGTCAATGGTTCAAACTCATCAGCCGCTCCTCGGAAACCTTATACACGGTCTCTATGAGTCAGAACTGACAAAAGGGCACACAACAACAACAAAGAGGATGAGAGACAACAGGCACCTGACAAAGAGTAGCACACCTGTTGGGACAGAAATCGCCAGCTGTCCCTAAAAGCCTGGTGGTTATGTGCTGTGGAGTTGATTCCGACTAATACCGACCCTGTACAGGGTTTCTGAGGCTGTAAATCTTTACCAGAGCAGAAAGCCTCATCTTTCTTCTACGGAATGGCTGGTAGTTTCCAACTGCTGACCTTGAGGTTAGCAGCCCAACTCGTAACCACGTAACCACTGCACTCCCAGAGCTCCTTCCTAAAAGGGTACACAGTTTGTAAGGCTAAAGGCGCAGCTGCAATCCTACCTACCTTGTAGCACTCATAGCGCTCATAGGAGGTGCCCCCGGGAGAGTCGGGGAAGATGTACGGCTGTGGGTGCTGGCACTGCCAGAATTCCTCCTCTGCCTCCCGCAGCAGCTGCGTGGCCTTCACCATGTCCTTCTCATTCTTGTGTTCGTCAAACCGGGCTCGCATCAAACAAGCAAAGTAGCGGTATTTATCCCTAAACCAAATGATTTGGGAAATTAGACGTGTTAGTTACCTGATGAAAAATGTTACTGCTGATGAGAAGCTATACTCCCACCAATACCTTCTGGATGGAGTCTAACTTCCTGCCACCTTCAAGGGCCCTGATACAGGACTAAGCACATTATATGACTCCCCCCAACCATCAGCAGATCCACCCCACGGCCCATAAATATTGTATTAAATATAGCGTAGCCACTTTTCTCGTCTCCAAAACAGGAATGATGACTTCAACTAAAAATGACAATTAGCAAAAGGCAAAAGCTATGCCTCTGCAGAGCCATTCAACCTTCATTCAATGATAACCTAACATCTCAAGGCAAGGAACTCTGGTAGCGTAGTGGTTACGAATCGGGCTGCTAATCTCAGTCAGCAGTTCGAAACTACCAGCTGTTTCGCGGGAGGAAGATGAGGCTTTCTGCTCCTGTAAAGATTTATAGCCTCGGAAACCCTGTGCAGGGTCGCTATGAGTCAGAACTGACTCCACGACACATAACAACATCTCAAGACAGTCCTGGGTACTTCCTCTACAAAATAGTGTTAATAATGTTTTTTAAGTGTCATTGAGTCTGTTCCAACTCATAGTGACTCTGTATATGGTTCTGAAGGCTGTATATCTTTGCAGAAGCAGAAAGTCTCATCTTTCGCCTGTGGCACAGCTGATGAGCTCAAACCACTTATGTGGTGGTTCACAGAGCCACGGGGTTCCCCAAAGAGGGTTAATAACAGTATCTAACTTTTAAGGACGTTATAAAGATTCAATGAGTTAAAACAAATTTCAGTGATGGGCTCATTGTAAGTGTTCTATAATGTCAGCTACTAATCCTCATATTCTACTTTGGAGAGAGATTTACAAAAATTAGTGCCTAATACATGATATACAAGGATGAAATTATTGGCACAAGGGGAGATAAGGCACGTTGTTGTTAAGTGTTGTCAAGTTGCTTCCAGCTCAGCGATCCTGTATAGGGTTTATTCGTCAGCAGTAACATTGGTCCTGCACTTACCCTAGCGCCACATCAGGACTACTTGAGGGTAAATTTGAGGTTTAAATTAAGGGACTCAATTGCTAGTATTGTCATTAGTTGAGACAAGGAATTTGGGGAGAGAAGCAATACTGGTGCTGTGTGTACAGTCAAGTCGATTCCAACTCAGAGCCACACTATAGGGTACTATGGGACTGCCTCCTAGGGGTTCCAAGGCTATCATCTTCACAGAGGCAAACTGCCACACCGTTCCCCTATAGAGCAGCTAGTGAGTTCCAACTGCCAGCCTTCCCGGTGGTAGCCAAGTGCTTAACCACTATGTTGCTGTTTCTGCTGTTAAGTGCTGTCGAGTGGATTCTGACTCATAACAACCAGGCATAGAGTTTCCAAGGTGAACTTGCACTGCCGACTGTGCAGTTCAAACAGGTTTGTAGTCCAGAGCATTATCCTGCCGCGCCACACCAGGACTTCTAATCACTACATAGTGAAAATGGAGTTTCAGAGAGCTGTAAGTGAGCTACAACCAACGAGAACGCCAGCCCTACAGACAGACAGCTGAATATACAAGGAACTCAAGTCCTGGCATTGAACAAGGCTATCCAAAATACACAGAGCAATGAACAGAAGGTTTAGGATGGAATCAAGGAAAACATACAGCAAACGGATGAAGAAACCCAGGTGAGGACTGAGGCTGAAAATCCAGAGTCACTGTTGTCATAGCTGTTGTTAGTTGCCACTGAGTAGATTTCAACTCACGGTGACTAATGTGTGCAAAGTAGAACTACTCCACTGGGTTCTCAAGGCTGTGAGTTTTTGGAAGCAGATCACCATGCTGCCTTCCCAGGGGCCTCTAGGTGGGTTCGAACTATCACCCAGGGCCTCCACTATCATATAGCTACTGCTATCATTTCCTCCATGATTATAAACAGCTGTAATTCTGCATTTCATGAATTCTTGATGGCGCCACTTCCTTCATCTTAGTCCAAACCCACTGTCATCCAGTTGATTCCAACTCGGAGGGACTCGGGTAGAACTGCCCCATAGGACACACCTTTCTATCCAAAGAACGACTAGCAGACTCAAGCTCCTAGCCTTCAGGTGAGCACCCCAGGGTGCTCAGGGTTCTATGTTCTATATGTTTATCTTCTTCTTCCCCACGAATCCAAATACTGCTGCACTTTGGAAAGTGGACTCACCTTTGGTTATTCCACAAGGAAGCAGAGTTACAAATTCTGTCAGATGAATGACCGAGGTGAAACTAGGGAAGAAGCTGACAATCCTACCACTCTGTACCTGGTCATCCTCTGGCCTAGCAAAGACATACTTGGGGGGCGGTGGGGAGCGGTGGTGGTGTACTGTGGAGTCGGTGCCCATTCATAGCGACCCAGCACAGGGTTTCCGAGGCTTAAAGGCGCAGAAAGCCTCTTCTTTCACCCGCGGAACAGCTGGTAGTTTCGAACTGCAAACCTTGAGATGAGCAGCTCAATTCGTAACCACTACGCTACCAGCGCTCCTTATTTCCCCATAATCATAAACATGCTCTCCGGGCTTCAAGGATTCCCTTTGCATCTCTTCCAGGGCTCCCCAGTTTTCCATCTTGAGAAGTTTGCCCTCAAAGCGCTTCCCGGACCTCGGTTTTAGAACTCTGAATAGGGAATAAAGGCCTGTCACCCCACTTGACAATGCATCTAGTCCGGAAAGCCTCTGGGTTCTAGGGCTGTGTTCTAGGACACAGTCGGAAGAAAACAGAATCACGTAACAGGTCAACTCGTCCTAACTCTCGCAGTTATAGGAAACCAGGCTTGGATTCGAACCCGGGTCTATGGGACAGCTACGTGGAGGTAAGGGGACGCCAGCCCATTCTGTCCCCGAAGTCCTTGACTGCCCGGTCCCCCTGGACCTCTCGGCGTCTGAAGCCCCTTCACCAGACCAGGGTCCCCTCTCCCACCTGTGGATGACCCAGGACTCGAGGTGACGCAGCGCCCGCTTGTAAAGCCGTAGCACCTTCTGTTGGTGGGTCAGGTAGGCAGATGATACAGACAACGCCATGACGGACCGCTCACCTTCAGCGGTCGCAAGCGCTACCGGGAAATCCCAGGCCGGAAGCCGGGGGGTGGGACCGGAAGAACGGGCCAGCCGGCCGGCGGCCACTTCCGTTTCCGCCGGGGAGGAGTAGGAAAAGCAGAAATGAGTCGCTTCAAATTCGTTGGTAAGATTTGTGATTTCCCGGTCCCTCAGCCTTTCTGACCCGCAACCGGAGGAGCTAAGATTCGAACTCCCGGACATTTTGAGGGCTGAAAAGGCCCCTCAATGTCAGAGGGCGCGGGGAGGCGTCTCTGTCCTGGTTCTTGATCTAAATGCTGGTTTCACGTGTGTGCTGATAAGAAATTCACAAGCGGTAAAGTTATGATTTATGCGTTCTTCTACCTGTGTAATATATTCAATAAAAATAAAACGGGTGCATCTTCCGTGCACCTCCCATCGCTTCCTCTATGGCAGAAAAGATGCCGTTCGCTGCATTAATTCGTAATTTCAGTCACAGTTACCCGAGTGCCTCTGGTGAGCTTTATGCTGGCCCCGGAGCTCAGGGTTCAACGACCCTGCCCCTGTTGAGGGGAAACTGCTACTGGAACGGGGGATCCGTTCGGCATCGGTAGAACCAAATAGGGAAAATGGCAGGGAAACAAAGGACTACAGATAATTGTTGCCAGGCACTTGGTGGACGTTGTGAAAAATAGGGTTGGAAGGGTAATTAGTCTCACTGAGAAGTTTAGTCTTTAAAGTGGCACAACACTGAAAATGCCTTGGATGTGGTGCATGCATTCACTAAATTCTCAAGTGACAGTTATGTACTAGAAACCGGACTGGGCATTTGGGATACAGTAATGGGTGGTGGTGTGTGCTTTGTTGATTTTCGACTCATAGCAACCTCATGTAACAGTAGAACTGCCCCATAAACCCACTGCCATCTAGTGGAATCTGATTCGTTGTGGTGGTTGTTAAGTGCCATCGAGTCAGTTCCTACCCATAGCGACCCTGTGTAGGGTTTCCGAGGAGGGCATGGTAAGCTTGAACCGCCGACCTTGCAGTTCAAACGGCTTTGCAGTCTGGCGCGTTAACCCATAGTGACCCCATAAAACTCCCTGGGAGCCTCTTAAACAGCCCCATAGGACTGCTAACCAGGAAGTCGATGGTTGGAATCCACTAGCTCCTCAGTAAGAGAAACTTACAGCAATCGTCCATAAAGGTTACAGCCTTGGATACTCTATGGGGCAATTCTACTCTTGGCACTGTAGAGTAAGCATTGGACTGTTACCCACAAGGTCGGCAGTTCATACCCACCAGCCTCCCCTCAGAAACGGTACACAGGGTTGCTGTGAGTCAGAATTGACTCAATGGCACTTAACAACAACAACCACATAGGGTCACTGAAGAGTCCTGGTGTAGAGCTAGCTGTAGGATAAACACCAGACTGCTAACTGCAAGGTTAATGGTTCAAATCCACAGCCACTCCTTAGAATCCCTCTACAGGGTCACTATGAGTTGGAACCAACTCATTAGCACATAAGAATAACATGGGGTCACTGTACCTCACAATCAACTGAGGAACAATGGGTGGTGTATTGCTGTTGTCTTTGTAATTTCTACAACGAACTTTTTTTTTTTTTTAATAGTATGTACTGCTATTCACTTTATGTTTTTTCTGTCTCCTTCACCCCCACCCACCCTGTAACCATCATAGAATATAGCAAGAAAACCTTTTTTTTTTTTTTTTTTTTCAACTTTTTACAAATTGGCCTTATACCATGGTTGTCTTTTTGTGATTGACTGATTTCACTCAGCATAATGTCCTTCCGGTTCATCTATACTATCAGATGTTTTGCAGATTATTTATTGTTCTTCAACACTGTGTAATATTCCATTGTATTTATGTACCAGATTTTGTTTAACCACTCTTCTGTTGATGGACTCTCCATCTTCTTGCTGTTGTGAATAATGCTGCAGTGAACATGGGTACATCTATGTCTAGTCATGCTACAGCTCTTGTTTCTGGAGGATATATACCAAGTATAGGAATTGCTGGCTCATACGGTAGTTCTTTTTCCAACTTTCTGAGACAGCGCCATACTGTTTTCCACATGGTTGCACCACTTTACAGTCCCACCAGCAATGTAGGAGGGTCCCAGTTCTTCCACACCCTCACCAGCATTTGTTGTTTTCTGTTTCTTGAGTAAGATGATATCTTGTTGTTTTGATTTGCATCTCTCTAATTCAGGTTGGACACCTGAATAAGTCTTCTTTAGTGAAGTGTCTTTTCATGTCCTCTGACATTTTTTAACTGGATTATTTGCCTTCTTGTTGAGGCTTTGAAATATTCTGTAAGTTTTGGAGACTAGTCCTTTGACAGGTCAACAGTTTTTCCCAGTCTGTGATTCTCTTTTACCTCTTGATAAAATCTTTCCATTTACATAGTGTCTAATTTTTAGGAGGTCCTAATCATCTATTTTATCTTCTGTTTGTGTGTTTTCAAGTATGTGTGATAGTGTATTTATGGTATGCACTATGAATTAATGCACTGGACTGCAAGGTCGGTGGTTCAAGCTCACCAGCCACTCCTGAAATACCCTTTACAGGGTTGCTATAGGTTGGAACCGACTGAAAGGCACTTAACAACAACATGGTCAGATTGCATTAAAAGGGAAAGAGACAGTCTCTCCAACAAATGATGCTGACAAAATTGGAAATCCATTTGCAGAAAAATGAAACAGGATCCATATCTCACACCATATACAAAAATGTATTCAACGTGGATTCAAGACCTAAATGTGAAACCTAGAACTATACAGCTCATCAATGAAAAAATAGGGACAAGCCTAGGAGTTCTGGTGTGACTCTGCAGTTCAAACCAACCTTTCAGTCAAGTGCTTACCCTAAAGCATGTTCCCTAATTATGCTGAGGAATTTCCCTTCTATTCCTATTTTGTTGAATGTTTTTATCAGGAATGGGTATTGGATTTTGTCAAATGCCTTTTCTGCATCAATTGATATGATCATATAATTTTTCCATTTGTTTTATTTATGTGGTCAGTTATGTTGATTGTTTTCCTAGTATTGAACCATCTTGGCATACCTGGTATGAATCTCACTTAGTCATGATTTTTTAATTTAATTTTATTTTTTATGTTGTGTTTTATGTTATTGCTAGCGTTTTGTTTAGAATTTTTGCATTTATGCTCATGAGGAATATTGGTGTATAATTTACTTTCTTACTGATATCTTTGCTGGTTTGGGATAGCAGAGTTATGCTTGCTTCATAAAATGAGAGTTTTCCATCCATTTCTATATTATGGAATAGTTTGTGTAAGGTTGATATCAGTTCTTCTCGAAATGTTTGGTAGAATTCACTAGTAAAGCCACCTGGGCCTGGACTTTTTTTAGTTGGGAGTGTTTCAATGACTTGATGAATTTATTCTTTTGCTATACGCCTGTTCAAGTTTTTCACTTAGTCTGTGTTAGTTTTGATAGGCCATGCGTATTTCTGCTCTAACCTGTAGTATTTTTTTTCTTTCTGGTGGCAGTAGGCTTACCTTGCTCTTTTTCTAATTGTTGGAGATGTTTGATTAAGACATTGATTTTGGCTCTTTCTTCTTTTTGGATGTGAGCATTTATTGCTAAAAATTGCCCTCTGAGCACCTCTTTTGCTATATCCTTGGAAACTGTATGCTGGGTCAGTATAAGTCGAAACCGACTTGGTGGCACTTTACAACAAAAGGTTTTGGTAAGTTGTGTTTTTGCTCTCATTTGACTTGGAATTTTTTTTTTTTTAATTGCATTTCTTATTTGATCTATTTACACAGTAGATTTTAAAGCAGGGTGTTGTTTTGTTTTCTTTTTTCCCCCCTTGATCTTCCTATTGTTGATTTCTAATTTTATAGCATTGTGATCTGAAAAGATGCTATGCAATATTTTGATTTTTAAAAATTTATTGAGGCTTGCTTTGTGGCCTTACATATGGTGTACTCTGGCTTTACATATGTTCCAGTGTCTGTAAAAGAATGTATAATGGGCTGTTGTTGGGTTGAGTGCTCTGTGTATGAGGTCAAGTTGGTTGATTGTGTTGTTTAGTTCTTCTGTGGCTTTATTGAGTTTCTTTCTGACTTGTTCTTTCTTTCATCGGAAGTGGTGTATTAAAATCGGTTGTTGATTTAGATGCCTTCCGGTTGGTCCTGACCCATAGTGATCCTGTATAGGGTTTCTGAGGAGCAGCTGGGGAGTTTAAACCACTACCTTTGTGGCTCAAACCGACCTTCCGCTTGAGTGCTTATCCTACAGTGCCACAGTTTTCTCTTTTTACCTTCACTTCTTTGGGATTTTTATTTATGTGTTTGGAGGCATAGATATTTACTATGGTGTGTTCTCTTGTTCAGTTGACCCTTTCATCTTGAGATAATGTCCTCCTTTGTCTCTTATGCTGGTTTTTGTCTAACAGTCTATTTGATCAGCGATTCAAATTGCCAATCCTGCTCATTTTTGATTGACATTAACTTGATATATTTTTCCTTTCCTTTGATTATGAGTCTATTTTTGTCTTTGTGTGTAACTTGTGTCTCTTGAAGACAGCATTTTGAAGGGTTTTCTAATCCATTCTGCTACTCTCTGTCTCTTGACTGGTGCATTTAATCCATTTATGTTCAGTGTAATTATTGATAGGTATGAATGGATTACAGACATTTTGCTATGTGGTTTTTTTTTTTTAGTGCACTCTGTGAGTTCATTTGTTAGTTTTATTTTCATTTTCTTCATTTCTGTTGTGTTGATATTTACTAAATCTTTCTGATTTCCCTCTTTTTTTTTTTTTGGATCTGAAGTTGTCTTCATTTTGTTTGATGTCACCCTGTAATTTATGTATTTTTCTCCCACTTAAAACAGTGTGCTTTAACTTGAAATCAACTTGACTTCCTTGTTCTGTATCTACACTATTTAGAAGTTTAGAAATTCTGTATCTACACTATTCCCTCTTTTTGCTTTGCAGTTGACTTCATTATAAATTGATATCTCTGATCCCCAGAATTCGGTCTTGTAGGTTTGTTTTACTTTAAAAACTTCTGTATCTGTGTGCTGATGGTATCATGTATGTTAATCTCAAGGTTGTTGTCCACTGTTGTTGATTCTCAGTTCTCTAGAGCATCCTGTAGTATTTTTTGCAAA